ACTGAAAACCAATTACTCTGTTCTGGCTGTTTTTTTGTTATGTAGAGGTGTGTTCGTACATTGAAGCATTAGTTCCCATAGGAACTAATGCAAAGCTGGTTAATACGGACTCTACCACTAGGGGGAGAACTTTTTTTTAACCTAAGATGACCTAAGGTTAAAAAAAGAGCAGGAAAGTTTTTTTTTCCTGTTCTTATCTTGTATTTTTGTTCTCAAGTAGAAGCAAAATTTAGCAAATGAAGCTGTTCTTAAGTGGAATTGTTCTTAAGTAGGGACGTTCTTAAGTAGAGACCCCACTGTAAGTCCTATTATCAATAGCTGTACAAGAACATGGCATGTCCACCTAAAAGAAATGTTAAGTTTCACACTACTGTTTTGATTTCCCGCCTTCCCATTTTCTACTCCAGTGGTTCCTAACCTTGGATCACTAGAGCAGTGGTCCCCAACCTTGGGCCTCCAGAAGTTCTTGGACTACAACTCCCAGAAGCCTACACCACCACCTCTTCTGGCCAGGATTTCTGGGAGTTGAAGTCCACGAAATCCTCCCCACTAGCTGTGCTGGCCAGGATTTCTGGGAGTTGTAGTCTAAAAACATCCAGAGCCCAAATTTGGGAACCACTGACTTCCCAACTTTTACCATGTCACTGTTTAAATCTATAGTGTAACTCCCACTGTACCCTCCCATCTTCCTTCAATGTAAAACCTTCACATACAGTATGTAGAGCAATATTAGTCACCATTTACAAGCAACCAAAAATGTTAGCATTCTACAGACATATGGATGGCACTTAGAATTTGTCCAGAGTAAGAACTGATTCTATCTAAGTGGTTTAAAATCCTTTCTTTTAACAAAGAAAGTGAAAATGGTGAAAGGATCTACAGTACAGTAAAAGCAAATTCCACATATAACTGTTACTACTGTATACACAATTTGTGTTGATTATTTTGCCATGTGTACTCCATTCTGATAGGCCTATCCCCATCTACAATACAATGCTGAATTCTGGGCAAACTGGAGACGAAAATTTTCTCAAAGTTTTGAAGTCATGTGGTGGTGGGATTTTTCATTGGAGGAGGGGCTCCCAAGGAGGAAAATAACTGGAAATCAGAGGGGGAAATGGAAACATATGCAATACTTACTTAAATATTAAACCTTGATTTATTTTACTGCTTTGTACTATCAAGCTCTTTCAGACATATTGCGATCCCAACAGGGTTTTCAAGTTATGTAAAATATTCAAGTAGTCTATTACTATTGCTACCACTCCCAGTAACTTTTCATGGCTGAGAGGCAATTTTAATACAGGTTATCTTGAGTCTTAATCCACTGCTTTGTCCATGACCCTTTATCAGCTAATTTTATTGCCTTAGCAAAATAGAATGTTCATTTATAACTTAATTTACATACAAAATTGTACTACTTGATGCATTTATCAGGGGTAAAATTTCTGGGCTATATATTTTATAATTCTCTATTCCAGCAGTTCTACCTGACAGACTGACATAGTACAGACATTTAAATGTTCCTCACCTGGGAGAAAGGCCCAAACTGGAAAGCTCTGAGGCCAAGCTAGGCCTATCTGAACAACCTCAGAAAGAAATCTCCCAGGTAACACACCAGGGCAGAAACAAGAAAATCATATATCTAAGATTTATGACATTTAAAGACAAAAAGACCTTAGTTTCATACAAGTAAAAATATATTTTATAGTAAATATAATACACCAAAGAAAGAGCTGCAACTATCATACACTATACCAGTGATGGTGAACCTATGGCACACGTGCCACAGCTGTCACACAGAGCCCTTTCTGTGGGCACGGGAGCCATAGGTTGCCAGATTGCTACTCCACCCCCCCTCACGGCCAAACCTCAGGAGGTGGCTGCAGCCACGGTGCTGGCACTTTGACAGGTGGTGGGCCAGGATCCAGAGCAGCTGGTGTTGACGGCAGATCCAGAGTGGGGTCTCAAGGCACTTCCATTCCTGGGATTCCCCCTTCCGCCATCACTTCCGGTTCCCCCGCCTACCGGGGTTTTTCCCCCCTTCAGTTTTGGCACTGGGGCCAAAAAGGTTTGCCACCACTGCACTATACTACCTAAATATATTATATTGAAATAACACACACACCCCAATTTGCATGGGAAAAAAGTGTTTCATTTGATCAGTAACATTCTTTCATCTAATGTGCCTGTCTCCATAAAACAAAAACAGTGGTTCCCAACCTGAGGTCCCCAGATGTTCTTAGACTACAACTCCCAGAAATCCTACCCGGGACAGCTAGTGGTGAAGGCTTTCAGGCGTTTTAGTCCAAGAACATCTAAGGACCCAAGGTTGGGAACTACTGAACTAGAGTAAAGCTGGCAAGAAGATGGTAACCAGCAAACCAAAAGAATGAAGTCATGAAGACAGCAGCATACACTAGGTGCAAGGAATTAATTTTAGATTTGAATATTTGATCCATTATGGTATACAAAGGAATTATTGTTCTATAATTTTGCACACTGTTTTACATAGTAATCTGCAGTTCCTGGAATTCTGATGGAATAAAATATCTTTTTAAAAATGCTTCACTTGCGCTAAAGAAAGTATTCCATCTGCGATTCCGCTCCACACATTCACCAAAGTCCCCCAACGCCACATACAATGGAAATAACTATTCTCCAAAGAAAATAGATGACAGAGAACCCTAGCTCCCTGAATTCCCTTCCTTTCCCCTGTGCCTTCTCTACCCACAGTAAAAATTGTCAAATTATTTACACTATACAAAAAAAACCCCGTATGAACGATCACCAACACCATATGGAAAATGCAGAAATATGACCTCTTCAAACACACAATCACCCTTTAACAATGATAATTCAAGTAGGGATATGAATCATTTTGCTCTGGGAGTGAAACTGAAGGAAAGGTCACTTTTTTCCTTCTCACAAGATTTGTCCCCCAACCCCACCTCAGAAACCTTATGGGATTAACTCAGTAATTTCCCGGTCATTTTTCCTGAAAGAAATGCAAAGCTGCATAGGATAATTACAATTCCTGCACAGAATGGCATGTGTCTTGTGCAGGATTCACTTGGAATAGGCAGAAGAAATTCCAAGCTATGCATAGCTGTTACAATTCCTAAATATTATTCGTAAAAATAAAAATAAAATAATAAATTACAAAGGGAAAAATATAGTGGTGCCTTAAAGATTGTTAAATTTTAAACTGAGCTTTTGTGGATAAAATCCACTTCCTCAGACATAAGAGAGAGATATAGTATGGCACGTTTTTATACATGGCATCAAAATACAGATTGTGGAGCCACAGTGTAGAAAAACTGGAAGAATTTATAAACCATCTCAAGATCCAGCAACTTCAACTAAACTGAAAAAGCATGAAGACTACATTTTTACATTTTGTTTTCAAGCTTGGTACAGACAATCTAATTCCCAGAAGGTTGGCCAAGAGCTAAGGAAATGGCCACAGCAACTATGCATATGAAAACAGTGTGAAAGAGTTGTGATCCCTACCTACCTCACATCAACAAAATCATGCAACTTCAAGGAACCAACTGAACTACAATTTGCATCTCTTTTACTTTCATTCTGTCTTTCTTCTGAATAAATCATTTCCCCCTTTTCACTTTTAATCAAGTCTCATCTTTTGATAGCCTCACAACCTCAGTTTATACACATGGACACTTCAAATAATAATCATACTTAGATTTAATAGTACCCTAAAATAAGAAATGAAGCCTAGAAAATGCTATAAGCAAGATTCCATACTGACCACCGCAACAATACTGTCTTACATTTTGGGACTACTTATTTATTTGATTTCAGTCTTGTGTTTTCCCATGAAACAGACTCAAGACAGTTTACAATTAAATTAAAAAAACAATTAAAACACAAAATGAATAAAAAGCATACATCATTTACAACAATTTTATAATCTTTGCTCCTCAAAGATCTTTTAAAAAGACATAATGTCCTATCTACAAAAGGACTCAAAAAATAATTAATTATTTCATTCTGAAGAGAACGCTTCCTAACTATGCAGAACAAAAGAAGAAAACACAACCTACAAACAGTATTCCGGCCCACCACAATAACACAACAAATGTTATGGGTCAGCAAAGGACAAAAGGGACCCCCTCACCATCGCAGGAATATACCGGACACCTTGCCGCTGTGGCTAGATATATATTGGGACGTCAAAACGCAACATCCATACCAGAATCAAAGAACATGAAACACTACAGACTAAAACAACCGGAAAAGTTGGCAGTAGCTGAACATGCCCTGGACATGAAATCCTATTTCAGTACAGAGAAGTACTGGACAACACCAGCAATCATTATGTTAGACTACACAGGGAAGCCACTGAAGTCCACAAACATCAGCAAAGCTTCAACAAAAAAGAAGAAAGGCTAAAACTCAACAAAGCCTGGCTCCCAGCATTGAAAAATACAGCCTACAAAAAGGTCAACGAACTCTACCCAGCTACAAGAGTCAACCTGTTACAGAAAAAAGAACAAAGGGAGGTCAAAGAAAGGAAAGGAAAGGAATTGTTTTTTACTCACAAAGTTCCAAACAAAGCTGCTGCTACAGCCAGGTCGAAAAAAGAACTGAGGTACTAAATGCTTAAACCTGTGAAAGTTTCTGAGGTTGCTCTGCTGGAGTGCAGATTAACCCATTAGTGTGTATTCACAGAGGCCACGAAGGAGTAGCCACACATTGCCACTACAGTGGTGCCTCGATTTATGAACATCCCTGCTTAGAAAATTTCAACTTACAAACAGCTCAGGTTGCAATATTTTGCTTTGACTTGCGAATGGAGCTTCCACTTCCAAACAGAAAAAAAGGCAGGGGAAAACGGCAGGCAATTCAAATTTCTAACTGTAGGTGGCGACGAGGCTGCTTTGTACTGTAGCTATTTCACTTTCAACAGTTAGAGAGTGTGTCCTTGTAGGCTTGGGAGTGCTTCCTTTTGCTTCAGAATGAGCGTGTGTGTGTGTGTGTGTGTCTGCAGGGAGGTAAGCTGGTATTTTCTCCTTTGAAAAAACTGTTCTGGGTGGGTTTTGGCTGGGGTGGGTATGTTTTTGTGCTGTGTTGTTGGTGGCTTTGCTGTTTATTTTTGGAGTTTTCTTCTTCTTCTTAAACCTCAGCAACGGAGTGCCTTCTGACTGGGCTTGCTGTGTTCTTTTTTATGGTGATTTTTTTCTTCGGCTGGAAGAAAACGTTTTCAATGCATTCCTAAGGGAAATGGTACTTCGAACATTTCTACTTATGAATACCGTTCATAATTAGAACATTTCTACTTATGAATACCATTCCAATACGGATTTAGTTCCTAAGTTGAGGCACCACTGTAATTAAATGCTTTTTTTTTGCTGATTTCAGGGTGCATACCACTTTATCAAATTGGCAGCCATGTGCACTCCAAAATCACCTTTAATCGGCACTTTTAATTAATCATTTTAATTTGCCACTGATGATGACATTTTCTCTGTTGTGTATTCAGAGCTGTGCAACAGGATTTCCACCAGTGTCTAATTTTAATTTAGCACTGACCTGTCTTTTTGCTATAAAAAAAAGTTGTAGACAATAATCCAGATGTTTACAGTTCTGCTTGCCATCTTCTTGTGTTCAGCCTTTATTTACATACTATGCACAGTAAAAAGCAGGCATCTCTATGTGCCTTATTTTTCTGAAGAGACAAGGTAATTCCCCCCCATGAGACAAGGTAATTTCCCCCCCCCCAAAACTATCATGGCTGGTACAGAAAAAAAGGGGCCAGCAATAAGAATAACACACAAGAGGCTTCACAAATTTTTCACTAAATAAAAAGGACAGAGCTGCACTATCCTGAATAGTATTTGATGCCTGCAAGAAATAGACAAACACTGAGAACAGGCTTAATTCAACAGACAGTTAATTTTAAATAATGTGTATGGACTAATTTTACTATGGACAATCATATTTGTGAAATTTGTTACTTTTATCATTTTTGGCATATAGGACCAAATGGCCTGGAATTTTTTGGAAAGTCTACAGTCCTTTTGCTTATACAGTGGTGCCTCGCACAACGATTGCTTCATACAACGACGAATTCACACAGCGATGGGTTTCTTCGAGGAATTTCCCCCATCGTTTAACGATGTTCTCTATGGGGGAATTTCACTCAATGATGTCCCTTTTTCGCTTCAGTGCTTTTGAAGTCCTTTCCGATGTCCGTTTTCGCTCATTTTTAAGTGTCTTACAATGTTTGAAACCTGTTTTAAATGCTTGCAATCGTTAGCCCACCTCCTGAACCCTACGCAAACTTAATTTGGTGTTGTTCTGAGTCGTCGTTAATTTTTGGTGATTTTTTGTTTTTTCTCTCATTGAACTCTATTGAACTGTCCGTCCAATGCATTTCAATGAGAGAAAAAACAAAAAATCACCAAAAATTAACGACGACTCAGAACAACACCAAATTAAGTTTGCGTAGGGTTCAGGAGGTGGGCTAACGATTGCAAGCATTTAAAACAGGTTTCAAACATTGTAAGACACTTAAAAATGAGCGAAAACGGACATCGGAAAGGACTTCAAAAGCACTGAAGCGAAAAAGGGACATCATTGAGTGAAATTCCCCCATAGAGAACATCGTTAAACGATGGGGGAAATTCCTCGAAGAAACCCATCGCTGTGTGAATTCGTCGTTGTATGAAGCAATCGTTGTGATCACTGGTATTAAAGCCCATCCTGATATATATTTTCATTTAAAATACTAAGAGTACCCTGGAGACCAATACTCCATGATGTCATTAAAGTTCTGATTAGCTGTCATGAACCAAGATGAGACATTTTAGTCCCCTGAAGTCACATTTAGTTGCAAATTGCACACAGAATTAGATTTACAATGTAGGCATTCTAAAAAACTGTTACCTGAAAAGTCATAAATAATGTTCCCAAATTTAAGCTACTGGCAGTGTTTCCTCTAAGTTGTACACCTAGAGCTCCATAAGGGCTGAACATGGGCAGTCAGCAGCCGGTTTATTTCCTGTTTCAAATGAAGCCCCACCCATCCCTGCACACATGGAGCAAAGCTCCCACACAGCGGAACAGAAAATTAAAGGGATCATTGGCTACTGGCCAATTGTTTTCTTTTGAGTTTTGAGAGTTTTTAAAAGACACTGTCACTCAGGGGTGTACTCACTTTTGTTGCTAGCGGTTTAGACATTAATGGCTGTGTGTTGCGTTATTTTGAGGGGACAGCACATTTACCTGTTACACAATGCTTTGCATTGTAGCCAAGTGTCATTTATTCAGAGTTGTCACATGAAAAGATATGCTAAAATATTTATGAAATGTGAGGGGTTTTATTCACTTCTGTGATATACTGTACACGGAATGTCCTCTGAAATATCTAATCACAACTGCAACCCTATTGCTAATTCTCACTACCTCTGAATCCACATAGGATCAGAAAATACTTCACACTTCATGCAATGCTTTTTTTTTAAACTCCTGGTAGAGGACAATTAATGGTAAATCCTTTAAGAGTATGTTAAGAGCAGAGTCCTGAGGAGTTAATTCTGCAACAGTTGTGCTGTTCTGGTTAAAAACTAATCACAACTGTATTAGGCTAAATTGCAATTTAAAATAATATAGCTAATATACAGTTCAAAGGTGGAAAAGGTGTTAGTGATGTATAGCTAAGCATGTTTTGTGCACATTCATTCATAGTGCATGTGCTGCTGCTTTGTGGCAAACGGACAGGTTACTTACCTGTAAACATGGTTCTTCAAGTGGATCTCTATGAATACACACCAGTGGGTTAAGACAGCGCCTGCGCTGGCCTCTCAGAATCTTCTAGAGCTATAGGGAAAAGTAACAAAGTTTTAGGTTGCCCTGTATAGCGCAGGCTCCGCCTGCCAAAGCCCCAGCTCCATATGCCCACCACACAGAGAGAGTTGGAACCCACTCAACAGTGACGAACATGACGGAAAGCCTGGTGGGATGTGTGTATTCATAGAGATCCACTTGAAAAACCATGTTTACAGGTAAGTAACCTGTCCTTCTTCAACGTGGTCTCTATGAATCCACACCAGTGGGTGACTAGCAAGCTCACTTACCGGATGGCGGGCCGTCACTGTAGAAGTGAAGTAAGTACGGCCCTCCCAAATTTGGTCTCATTTTTAGCCCACAGGTCCAGTTTGTAATGTAGAACAAAGGTAGACACATTGGACCAAGTTGCTGCTCTGCAATTCTCTTGGATGTCAACTCCTCGCAGGGCCATCGATGTGGCAACAGCTCTGGTGGAATGAGCTCCGAGACCCTCGGGGATAGGCTTGTTCTGCAATTCGTAGGCCAGAGAAATGGTGGAGACCAACCATCTGGACAGTGTGGAAGAGGAGGCAGCGGAACCTTTACGCTGACCATAGAAACAGAGGAAGAGTTTCAGAACCTTTCTAAAGTATAGTAACATAATATGCTAACGCTCTTCTTACATCCAAAGAATGGAGCATGCGTTCAACATCTGTAACTGCATCAGGGAACAACGTTGGTAATATCAAAGGTTGGTTAACATGGAACTCGGAAACCACCTTAGGGAAAAAAGAAACATCAGGGTGTAGTACCACCTTGTCCTTGAAAAACTGAAGATACGGAGAATCTGCACGAAGTACTGCCAGTTCACTAGCTCTACGAGCAGAAGTGATGGCTACCAGGAACAAAGTCTTAAATGAGAGCAGTCGGAGATCACATGAGGCCATTGGCTCAAAGGGATGGCAAGTGAGGCAATGTAGTACTGTCTGCAATGACCACTGTGGTACAGGTTTCTTCAAAGGTGGTCTCATATTGGACAGACCCTTAAAAAAGGATTTTAAAGTTGGGTGTGAAAACCACCGGGATCACTGAGAGCCAGGGGACTGGAAAGCAACGATGGCTGAGGTATAAACTTTTAAGGTAGACTTGGAAAGTTCCAAATCAAAGAGATGTTGAAGATATAGGAGAAGAGTAGGCAAGGCCACAGGTGAAGACTGTAACCTGTGCTCAGCAGTAAACTTTAGAAAGCTTTGCCACTTGTATTTGTAGAGTAATTTAGTGGCTGGTTTTCATGCCTTGTTAATGACCTCTGTCAATGATGGGAAATCCTCCACGCTGTCAAGTGGAGAGATTCCAGGTCCGGATGAAGGATGTTCCCCGCATTCTGAGTGATCAAATATGGGAAGAGGGGCAAAGTCATCCTGTCCACCGCTGACCGGAGAAGCATGGAGAACCATGGCTGTCGAGGCCACCAGGGAGCAACGAAGATTGCCTCCGCTTTCATCTGAAGAGTCCTGACGAGAGCTCTTTAAAGAATAGGTATTGGTGGGTAGAGATAAAGAAGTCCTATGTTCCATGGAATCATAAAGGCATCCCCCAGTGAGCCTTCGCCCTTCCCTGCACGAGAGGTGTACATTTCACACTTCTTGTTGGTCGGTGTCGTAAACATGTCTATGACTGGTCGACCCCACCTGCAGCACAGACTGAGAAACACTTCCTGATCTAGTTCCCACTCATGAGATTGAAAGGAGCGGCGGGCGGCTCAGTTCGTCTGCCAGCTGATTGTTGTGGAGACATAAATGGCCACCGGGAAGATGTGCTGTTGGTAGCACCACTCCCATAGGTGAACAGCCAGAAACAGAAGAGATGTTCCCCCTTGCTTGTTCACATAGAACATGGTCGTAGTGTTGTCTGTGACTACTTGTACTGCTCTGCCCTTCACCAAGGGGAGGAATGCCCTGAGTGCCTTTATGGCTGCTATTAACTCCAGGTGACTGATGTGGAGCAAAGCTTCTTGGGGGGACCAAAGTGCATGAATTTGATGTCCCTTGCAGTGGGCTCCCCAGCCTAGGGGGCTGGCATCTGTTGTCACTTGCCGTGTCAACTGTAGAGGTCAAAAGGGTCGTCCTATCAGGAGATGTGGTCGGAACGTCCACCACTGAAGCTGGTTTGCCAATTCTGGTGTGACTGTGAGTCGTTTGTGTTGACTGTCTTGCAGAGGATCGAATAGAGCAAGTAACCAAGATTGGAGCGAGCGCATCTTGAGGCGCGCATGGGGCAAGGCACAAGTTGTCGATGGCATGAGGCCCAGCAGGTGTTGTGCAAGCTTTGCCGATACTTTGCCTTGGGGCCTGAACTTCCGAACTGCCTTCGTGATCTTTTGGATACATTCTGGAGGTAGAAATATGCGCTCAACACACAGAGTCCAGACGTGCCCCTATGTAGTCCATCACTTGTGATGGTTCCAAGTGGGACTTTTCGTAGTTTATGAAAAGACCCAAGGCTTGCAGAGTGTGAAGAACTTGGTGAGTGTCTTTGATTGCTTCTGTCTTGGACTTGGACACAATCAGCCAGTCGTCGATGTAGGGGTAAATTTGAATCCCCTGTAGATGCAGGTAAGCTGCAACCGGAGCCATGCACTTGGTGAAGGTCCTCGGAGCTGTGGAGAGAACGAATGGAAGGGCCACATATTGATAAATGGTGTCCATGAATACTAGGCGCAGGTATCTCCTGTATTTCCGATGAATGGTGATGTGGAAATATGCATCTTTTAGATCCACAACAACAAACCAGTCTCCTTTCTTCAGCAGGTGAATGATTCCTTCTAAGGTGACCATCCTGAAGCGGCGTGGTTTGAGGTAGGTGTTCAAATCCCTCAGGTCCAGAACTGGTCTTAGACCGCTGTCTTTCTTGGGTACTGTAAAGTACTGGGAGTAAAACCCGTTTTGCATGTCCCGATGTGGCACCTTCTGGATGGCTTGCTTTGCTAGAAGAGTGAGAATCTCTTCTTCTAGGATGGGATCGAACAATGTATGCTTGACCCATCCTAGAGGAGGCAATTCTATAAACTCCAGCTGGTAACCTGAGCTTATAATGTTTAAGACCCAGGCGTCTTGTGTTATCTTGAAACAGTCCTGAAGATAAGGAGATAGGCGAGTCGTGTGGTGAGCATTTAGAATGGTCCTGGTGAAGTCAAAGATATTGCTTGGATTTTCAGCCAGACGGTTTGTAGGACTGTCATTTGTTAGACTTGGGTTTGAAGCTGGCCGTAGAAGAGAAAGCCTGGGAAGACCGTGGCTGAGCCTGGTTACGGAAGGGCCGGTAAGAAGAAGGTGTAGACTGTTGATATGAGTGCTGTGAAAATTTGGGACACCACTGAAACTTTGTACCCATAGGTTGTTGCTGTATGGATTAAGACTTTGCTGTCTTTTTACTCTTATGCAGATTCTCAAGATTCTCATCAGTTTTTTCACTGAACAAGCCAGAAGCGTCAAATGGTAAGTTTTCGATTCTGGTCTTAATATCGTCCATGATGTTAGCTGATCTAAGCCAAGCATGTCTTCTTAGGGTGATAATAGAGGCAAGATTTTTAGCAGTGGCATCTGCAACGTGTCGTGAAGCCAAGCGTTGATGTTTAGATACAGTTAGTGCCTCAGCGTGTGTGTTAAGACACATCTGCCTGATGTCATCTGGTGCCACATGAAGAGCTGGCAGTACTCTTGCCCAGAGCTGCTTCTGATATGCGCCCATGGCAACCAAGTAGTTTAGTGCCCTTAAGGCGAAGGTGGTCATGGTATACAGTCTTCGACCCAAAACCTCCAGTTTCCTGCCTTCTTTATTGGTGGGGGTCGCATGACCCTTAGTAGGAATCCTGGATGCACTTGATTCAACTACAAGGGAGTTTGGAGCAGGATGCTTCAGTAAGAAAGAAGTCTTAGGACCATGAATACGGTATAAGTTCTCACTCCTTCTGGATATAGATGTGGAATTAGCAGGGTGTTCCCAATATTCCATAATGAGGTCCAATAACTCAGGCAAATAGGATAGACTGACATGGTGAGCCCTCTCCTTATTAATGTCACCAAAAATCAATTCGTCCTCACGTGCAGATGATTTTTCTATCTCTAGCCGCAAAATGGTGGCCATCCGAGAAACCATCTGAGAATAGGATGAGAAATCCTCAGATGGGGAGGATGGGTGGATATCGGCAGCATCCGATCCTAAAGGTTCACCTGGGAGAGGTGTCTCTAAGGAGGCTTCAGATGTAACCTCCTCCTCTTGATCAGAAGAACCTTGGGAAACCTGACTTTCTTCAGCAGAGATAGGAAGGATGCAGGGATGCTGACCCTTAGCTGCTCCAATAGTGGGCCTCTGAGGCATGGTGGGTTGAATAGGTCGAGGCTCTGTAGGTTGAGCATTAGGCTTTTGACCCATTGACGTGGGAGCTCCTCAGTCAACGTCAATGGTCCGTGCTTTCGGTGTTGATGCTTCCTCGGAGGTGATACAGAAGATGAGGATGAAGAAGTATAACGTGTCCTCTTTCTCCGTCTTCTGCAGTCTCTCGACGTCCAGGAGAACTCAGATGAGTAGTCTCTCCTTCGGCGTCGGTGGCGTGACCTCCTTCTCCCGACACTGTTGTCGGAGTTGGAAGAAGAATAGTCTCAACGGCGATGCTTTTTCTGTCTATCGACGCCGAAGCCATGTTTATGCTTGTGATGGCGCCAAGGTTTTTTTGGTGGAGGTTCCTCATCCTGATCCGACGATGAGCGTCGAGGGAGGGAACGTCCAGAGGCTTCTCAGGTCTCCTTGGAGGTGTAGATGGAGACTTGGAGCTAAGAGATCCCAGTTGGGATCTAAACGCCTGCCCGGTTAAAACAGGGCTATGAGGGGCATTGGCTATGCCAGCAATAGCTTGAACAAGCTGGCTAGCGGTTGGTGATCTCTCGATGTCTAGACGAGCCTCCTGTCGGGGAGGTAAGGAGGCACCCATCTCCAACATCGAATCCCGGTCTCGAGACGAAACTTCAAGTATAGGAGACGGAAGAGATGTCGAGATCGGTGGGACGACTAAAGTAAGGTCCTTAGACTTCGATTTTGGTTTAACCAAAGACTTCTTCTGTTTCAGCTGTTGAAACATCAGTGGATTGGAAGAAGTAGAAGGAGCCATGTACTGGTAAGTGATTTTTTTGCAGAGAGTTTGTTTTTAGGCTTGTCTTTAGGCTTCTCTTTAGGGTGAAGAAACCACTCTGACTTCCGAATGGACTGAGGATGTAGAGGGAGCCGACTACATGTCAGATGGTTGTGAAGCAGACAAGGTCTGTTTCCACAGAGAATATTTCAGGCGCTGCTGTCGAGCCTTGATGGCAGCTTTAGTGAACTCTTTACAATGCTTGCAATGGGTAGTCAAATGTGATTCTACCAAACAGAAAACACAAAGGGAATGCCCGTCTTGGAAGGGAAGTTTCCGTGAACAAGAAGAGCAGAGTCGAAAAGGCCCTTTCTTAGGAGGCGGTTTCTTCCTAGGTGGCATAGGCTGATAGGCGCGGGAAACGGTAATAATAGAAAGAGTCCAGAAGGCGCATGGCGCCTCAGCGGGAGGAGAAGAGGTACCAATTAAGCTATTTAGAGTACTTGCAGATCGCCAGAAGCAGTAGAGAAGTCAAAAATGGTCCGAGGTTAGAGCAACAGAGATAAGGAAGATCGAGAATTCCAAAGCCAGGTCAAAACCGAGCAGGTAAAAGGCAATTTAAACACAGCTCTAACCGAGAGGTTCCAACTCCACGGGCGGAAAAATGGAACTGGGGCAGAGCATGTGCTATATAGGGCAACCTAAAACTTTGTTACTTTTCCCTATAGCTCTAGAAGATTCCGAGAAGCCAGCGCAGGCGCTGTCTTAACCCACTGGTGTGGATTCATAGAGACCACGTTGAAGAATCCATATTTCTTCTCTACTAAACTCTAATTTGGTGGGAATGGCCTCCATAGATTAGCATCAACCCTGACTTTCAACTCCAGGGTTGAGAGAAAAGTTACTAAGTGCTTTGTTACAGTGTTACCGAAATGCCTGAAGCAGCTTGGAAGTGCAGTCAACAAGTTGCCATATCCTTCCAGCTCTGAAATTGGAACCAGGAACAGCCCAGATAATAATCTTTAACCAGACCGAGCTGGTGACAAGGGAAAGGACATGTTCCTGGCAGCTACATTTTCTGCCTATGGAGGCTACCCAAAAATTATGGATCCTGGAATATCCAAAGATATAAAACCTCTTCATTGTAAGATTGAGCAGAACTTAAAATATGTGAATATGTGCTCCTAAAGAGATAGTGGACCTTTTAAGCCATCCAGTTCACACCTGTTACAATGTCTCTTTCTTTTGAACTGGATCTCTTTGAAACGCAAGCAAGTCACACATAAACACTGATTTAGGGCTTCTTACTGTGATTGGCTATGACAGTAACTGGAGGCAGGTGGCAACTCTTCCATTAACAAGATGAAGCTCTATGAAAGATATATTGAATGGCACCCAGAGTTTGATAGAGCCCCTCCCACAATCTGCAACAAAGAATAGACCCTAACTATGAATCATCACAGCCTCAATAACAGAGCAAAGAAGAATGATAAGCAGACAAGATAAACTAGCTGTGTAAGTTTAGCAACAGAGGGAGCAAAACCTGCAAACTACTCTCTCAAGCACAAAGTTTCTATCTGCTTTACTAAACCTCAACATTTGTTTAAAAACAAAGTTCTATTGTTTTAAGTTGTTGAAGCCACACATGTGATTTTCTGCTGATATTCTTATTTGTAAATGTCTCTGGGCAATCCCTCTCAGACCTGATTTTCTCATTATAGACTTGGCATCAAAGCTACCTAAATGGCTGAAACGTTTGAGTGTTTAGCTCCCCAACAGTTTTTTAACACTTTGAAAAGGAAGCTATTCACAAAACCAGCAGACAGCACTCATACAGGCAATGCATCTTCATCTGAGGAAGAAAAGCAACAGTCACAGTAACTTAACAAAGGCCAGAGGTGGCAAGTGATCCTACTGCACTGAAAAGAATTCTTGGCAAATAAGAAACAAAACCTCCCTATGACAGAGTAAACATTCCCACATAAGATATAAATGGAAACGTTGGAGAAAGTGAAATGTCTGCCTCAATCACAATCTTCTTATATTCCTCCTACGATGCATGCTTATCCTGCATCATGTACAGAAATTTTTAGACCACCACTACCCATTACTATGAGTAACTAAAGAGGACAAAAAATCTGCTGTCTACACCACTGACAGTGTCAGGAGTTGAATGCTGCATTTTCTTAATTCAATAGTCGGCATTTTTCTGATGTTAGCAAACACAGATTTGCTTATGTATTATCCAAAGTGATTGTTGCTAGCCAGAGTGCACCATATTGGATTCCCTTTCAGAGAAGAGAAATATATACAGTGGAACAAAGAATATGACCATTGACATCCACATATGTAAATATCAAGCAGACTTTCTTTGACATTGTTATGTTTAAAAATCTCACAGCAATCTCCCACAATGATAGAACACATAATATGGACATAACATCTCATGATGTTTTCACCAAAGACATATGGTGTACAAACTTTCTAAAGACTGAAATTTGTCTTTGACAGTCTTCTGATACTTTGAAAAAAAGCATGGGCATGTTTAACAACTGAAGAGTACACTGAGCTCTCATTCCTGCTGACACTACTCACACAAAAAACAAGTTTCAAGATTCACACATGTTGAAGAATGACACTGCAAGTTTCACTAAATGCTAGAACAATGTGTTAATTTTTTTTCACCTTATTGTTTTACCAGAACATGTCTCCTGGATCCTGAACTTCAGCTATGAAGAAACCCAAAGCATACTACTCAAATTATGAATGCTAATAAATATATGCTCCTTATCTATAAATGTGCAGATGTAGGAATGCAAATCTGTTAATTAACACATACAAATTCATCTCCTGTGCAGAGACACTGGTGAATGTTTTATGACTCAGTAAATTTGGCATGAACTCTTCTCCTTCCCATAGCATACATCTTCAGCTGTTGTTGAGTGGTTCCCCTTGTTCCACATCCCCTGCATGACACTCTAAATAAACATCCTGAAGGACAATTGTGAGTTCACAGATGCCCTCCCAAAGAAACACAAAGTGGTAGGCAAAGTGTCCTTTGCAGAATTAGGATTGGGAATGCCACGAAAGAATGCTGTGACGGCAATAAGTGGCGGCTTGGGTTCTTCAGATGTGAGAAGACTTACATCTTTTAAGTACTGTAACAGCAACCATCTCAACTACCTAATTATTAAAGTACAGAGGAGAAACTGGGAGTCCCTTCTTGGAACCTCAGAAACAGAGAAAAAGATAGGGAGAATGGCAAAACAGTCAACAAAAAAAGGAAGAACCTTGAATGTGCAAAGAGATATCTTACAGTCAGTTTTGATGAAGAGAAGAACACAAGTGAAGTAATATGTCCTGCTCTACATGGAACAGGAAAATCACCTTAGGGAGAAACACCTGGTCGTATAACTACCTTATCCCTGTGGAAGATACAGAAAGAAAGGCTGATCTCAGAGTGCAGAGTTGACCAGCCCATTTTGGCAAAGTAACAGCCTCCAGACTCATGTGACATAGGTCACAGGAAGCCAGAGGGTCAAAAGGGCTGGTCATCAGCTGATAGAGCACCACACATTAGGAGCCAGGGACACTTTGGTAGGTGATATGGGGAAACACGGCATTCAGCCCCTTAAGAATTATATTAATAGCAGGATACCTTAAGAGGGATGTGTCACAAGGTGAGAGAGCTGATGAGCAAAAAAGGCAGCCCAGTAGACTGTCAAGAAAAAGACCAAAAGGGAAGCCAACTTCAGGCATAATAAGGAGGGAAATACAAGAAATACCAAAGTGAAAGTCGTGCTTCTAGCCATGGAGCATATGAGGCTTTGGGAGATGATTGCTTGGCTTCTAATGGTACATACTGGATATCTGTGGACAAAACCAAAGATGGCAGATCCTCCAAGCTGTGAGGCAGAGTACTGGGGCATCTGGAAGGTAAATGGGCCGATCTCCTTGGGTGAGTTCGTCCAGCAGCATGCAGAGCCTCCAGACCTCAACCCAAGGGAACTATAGAATCATGGTGATCTAGTGCTACCTCAGTGAGTGGAGACAAGCAGAATTTAGTTTGGCTGATCCTCCCAGACTTTAACCATGAAGTCTATTGTCAGAGGAAAAAGAAGAGAGGGCTTGAGTACTGGGCATTTTCTCAATGACACTGTTCTCTAAAATTGAAGTGATATATTTTTCAAGTATCTGAAGAAGAAATAGAGTTGGAGATGTTGATCAGGGCAGGCTTTCATGTATCTCAGTCACAGAATAGAGTACTGTGGCAGTGACAGGTTTAATTGTAGTGATAAAGGTTAGTATCTTGAAATAGAGGACAATCAAGGAAAAAAGTTGGAGGCTCCATGGAAACAAAGACAGTGTTTGATGGAAGAGGTGGGCCTCATGGCAGATGCAGAGCCCAAGCAAAACTTTATCTTGAGGCTCCACTGATGACTGAAGGACTGGGAAGATTGATGGGGCAACACAGAAGTGTGGAAAGGCTATGAGGATGCATTCTTCAAACGGTGAGTGGATAGTGACTAAGGTCCATGATCTTCAGGGTGTCATCAATCTTTAGAGTTGGCAAGCCCTCCTCCATTGTTAGGCTGGTCTACAAACAGATATCACATTTCCACAGTCATTCAGCTGGACTAAAATACGTCTGTTGTCAAAGTGCAAAAAAACAAACAAACAAAAAACTGCCATAACCTTTGCAGCAGAGTCTATCAGATAATGTACAGAATTAACAAAAGCATAATCTTATTTGTTTGTAAAACCAAAAACAAAACTTCTTTTCATGAGTGGATGAAGTAACTGTAAGTATAATAATACAAAACAACAGACACAACTACAAGTAACCATTACATCAAGAGATGACTGCATAACAAATGGAGAATATAATTTTGAATAAAATGCAAACAAATGTAATTTAAGATGAATAGGAAACAAATTAAAGTTCAACACAGATATAAAAATGATATACCGTATTTTTTGCACCATAAGACACACTTTTTCTCCCAAAAAAACTGGGGGGGAAGTGC